TCCAGTCACAATTCCTATGGCATAACATAGGCCATAGAATTTCACCTAGTGACTCCTGCACCTAACCCAACAACATGTAATTGAATTAGAGCATATTTTTAGAAAACCATCCAGTCTTGATGTAAAGACTTCAAGAGATGCAGTCTTAAATATTAAATCCTATAGAATGGCAGAAAATTTCTCTAGAAAAGTTATCATTTCCTATTAACTTTTATAGGTTTTTACTATGAGGGTGAAGTTATTTCTCCTGTGACCTAGTCAGGCTCTGAACCCAGATTTTAAAGTAGTAACACATTGTGCCCTTCATCCTCCCTGTCTGCTTTCATTTGTATGAATGTTACTTTTCTCATCCCACTGCTTTGATAATAGAACTAAAAGGCCCTGCAGATTTCTGCTAACACAAGATGTAATGGGATGAATGCACCCTCTAATGGAGAAGATGGGAATAAACCTTTCCTAGGCATCAGATTAGAGAAATTGTATTTTGAATTCCTCATAGTGCAAGATATTTTATTTCAAGTAAGCTCCTTGGGGAGGACCCTTCGTTGTCAGATGACTTTGCAACTGACCCATTTCTAGAGTTTGTTGCTATCCCATTCCCTGCCAAAATGCCCACTTCTTAAATGTATTCCCCATTTGGTTATCATTTCCCAATGCTAGGCCTCACCCTGAAGTCATTCCAGATACTGTTCCCAAATGTTATTACACTACATTTTAAAGAGAGAGTGAGAGAGAGAGCAGCTAACTACAAGCACATGTCACTAGCAGTTTATCTCATGGTTGTTCTTCCACCACTGTAACCCTTGCCTTCCCACACCCCCTTCCTTCACTTATTACCATTGCATGCTGTGTAATTTCGACAGCAAGCTGCTTGGGGCAGAGACCTGTTACTCATTTGTTCTCTAAAGTGCCATGCATAGCTATAGTGTTGTGTAAGTAATAATATTGCACTGATGGGCACATAGAGATTGCCACACTGGACCAGAGCAGCAGTGCATCGAATCTGGGATTCTGTATCTAGCAGTGACCAGTGCCAAATAGTTCAGAAATAGACACAGATATCTCCACAGTGGACAACTATGGGATAAACTGCTGCTATAGGAATTTTCTTCATTTCCTTTGTTACTTAGTTGATGGCCCTGAACCATGAGGTTTTACCTCTCATCACTTTTTTTTTATTCTGTCTAGTATAATGGTTTATGTTCTCACTGTTCATGGAAACCTTGCTGGAATCCTGCTAAGGTCTTGGTCCCAGTGATTTCTAATAGCAATGATAAAGGCCTCATGTCCCAGATGGCCAGCCCCTTTAAGTGGATATAGGCCCAATCCCACCTGTGACACAATTAGCTCACCTCCTGAAAATAATGGTCCTGTGATTGGTGGATAATATCACCAACCAGTCCTTCTGGGGAAAAGATAAGAGTAGAGGCCTACGGAAGAGCTGGAAGGAGTTAAAGGCTCCTGCAGGCTGCAGAGAGCAAGAAAGCTCATGCAGGGGACACTGGGGCACCAGGGGGAGGCCAGACTTGGCAAGAAGGACTAGGAGCGGGAGCTGGATATAGAGAGGAAGAGAGACCCCACAGGTAGGGTGACCAGATGTCCCGATTTTATAGGGACAGTCCCGATATTCAGGGCTTTTTCTTATATAGGGACCTATTACGCCCCACTCCCTGTCCCGATTTTTCACACTCGCTATCTGGTCACCCTACCCGCAGGGAGAAAGGATTGGGCCCAGCTGGAGACTGGAGTGAAGACTTTTTCTTTTGGCCCACTAGGGGAGGAACACTATTGATTTCTGTTCTGGAAAGACTTGATCGCCAGCCTGGGTGGAACCAGTCTGGATGGTGGTGTCAACGGGACCGGGTAGAAACACAACACAAGCATCAGAAGGAGGGTTGTGGAATTCCCTTAGTTAGGAGGAAAGGGTTTGGGCCACTGGATATCATGTGTAGGATTAAATAAATTAGACCCCAGCCATAAGGGGAAACTTTTTTTGAATACCTTGGATTGTGAGGAGTTTATTGTGAAGGTGTGAGAAAGGAAAACAAAGGCAGGGTTGTGCAGGCCCCTCATAAGGAGGGCTCTCTGTAGGCAGTGACTCTGTCACACCTCATTTATTTAACTGGGGTTTTGAGTAACTTGGAAAACTAATCACCCTTTCTAAAGTCTACCGTTGTCACAGGCCTGCCTCCACAGCCATCCCCTGAATGGTCCTGCTTCAAGCCGCAGCGCCCTGCCTCCTCCTGTTCCCTCCTAGCAATGGACACGGTCAGGGAGATGTGTGTGTCAAATCTTACGCTACTGCAGCCTGTGTTGTGCTTGTTGTGGGGATAGACAGAGACATGTCTCTAGAGCTGTCGATCCAGCACCTCAATCTCACCTGCACTGTTTTCCCTTTCAAAGGAAAATTAAATTACAAATGCCAAATGATATCTGCCTGTGTTTGGTAGCAGAGAGAGAACCAGCAATGTGCAGCTAGTGGACCTACAGGTTGCACCTGATAGCACAGGGTTGAAGACCGGGGTCTAACATCTATTGGGTGCTGCTTTAAGTAACACTACAGATTATGTTTTTCCTGGTGAATTAGGTATGTCCTACTGAAGTGAAGCATTTGGGCCAGAATTAATCACTTCAGCTGCAAAGTTCTGCAGCTCCAAGGAGGTGGGAATGCTGCCATGTCTTCACCTCGCCCTGGTATACATGGGAGGTTTGCGCAATTCTGTGTCATATATTCTCTTGCTGCATCTTGGTCATTCACTGCAAAAGTGATGATACAGCCTCCAGCACAGCACAGGGCTCCAAGCTAATAGAGTTTCTGTGCCATTGGATCATACAGTGGGAGCTCTCAGTGCTATGGGAGTCTGTGCTAATTCGGAAGGCTGGTAGGAGCTTATTCTCAGTCTTTCCCCAAAATCTGACCCTCCAAAACCTGACCCTAGGGGCTCACAACAGCCAGTCCCTAAAATACTTCATACTAGCAAAGGCAGGAAATGTCCATCTGAGCTAGCTTGTTAGGGCCATGATTTCTCACTATGGGTCCCAGCCAGGTCTAACCATGCCCACCTGATGTTAACTGCTCCGCTCCATTCTGCAAAGCCTCACTTTCCTGGGCTCTGACAGCAGCTGAGCAATGAAAAGGAAGATGCCCCCCATGCTGCAGGGCAAGACAGGGTGTTTCACCCTGATACACCCTGGCTGGGTTACCAGTGGAGCTATCTGCAGGCACCTGTTCTGTTTTGTACTGGAATACATTAGCTGTTTCCTTAAGACTCTGGCTGGGTATTAGGACACTCAGAAGAGAGGAAAGGAGTAGTGAAGAGCTTGGGAATGGGCTCTTGTAAGTGGGATACTTCCGGGACTGGGTAATTCCAGACAGTGCATGTATCACTAACTCAGTATTACTTTGATTTGCATGATTTGGTTTCTGGCGGGGAGGGGCCTCTCCACTAGCCAGTTCTTGAGGGGTATTTGCTCTCCCCCACTACTGCATGGTTTTGTCTCCTTTGGGGCGGGCAGGCCTTGCCTATGCTGTTTGCACTAGAGGAGTTGCTGCTGTTGATAAGCCTGATAGACTTCAAAGCCAGAGTTTATGGCACATGTGGAGTATGAATGTTGAGGCAGGCACAAGCAGAGCCTAAGTTACAAGCTACACACAAGCTAGCCTTTGATTCTGAGAGTTTTGCAAAGTTCAGCTCTAACCAGCTAAAAGATGAACATAAAATCCTTGTTTAGGGGCATACAGGAACATTTCTAGCGTGATTAAGCATTGTTTGGTACATACTGGCAATTAAAATACATCTATAAAATGCAATGTTGCCCATGAGATATGCCCATCTGAACCAAGAGAAATGGCATGTTTTCCATGAATAAAAGATTCCACCTAAGCAACAGGTAAATGGATGTAGAAGATTAAATAGATTTAACGGTGAAGCAGAAGAGGAAGAGGCAATTCTAACTAACAATGAGCTACCTCTTATTAACATCATTCAGAATAAAGTGTGAGGCAGGATTGGTAATATCCAGGAATCTCCCCAGTGGCTGGAGCTAGTGTAGATTTTCCAGCAGTCATATGCATATGGGTATTTTCAGACTGGACCACTCCAAAGGTCCATCAAGCCAAGTTTCCAGTCTCTAGCAGTGATCAATGCTGGACACTTCACAGGAAGGTGTAAAATCCCTATAATGATTATTATTGTGCAGTAGTGTCCCAGAGGTAAATTCCTTCCGGACTCCAGCTGGTAAGCACTTTACATCCTGAAGTGTAAGGATCAAGAGCCTGGGTAATTTTATCTTACCTAGTGTCACTGCAGATGCTATTCTGTTTCATATAAGTGTACATGTATCTTTAATGCCTCTATCAACTGTTACTTGTTGTGGGGCTGTTCATAAGGGCGAGATTTCATATCCTGGTTTGTTATACTGGCTGCCGATGCTGGTTTGCTGTTGCAGAGTTTCTCATTAGTGTTGGGCTGCACAATATAGTTTGTTATATTGTAGGACTACTTATCAGGAACCAAGCTACCAGTGTTATTTTGTTATTTGTAGGGTTGCTTATGACTCATGGTCATAAGAGGAAAAAGCATTTCCATACTTATTTTTAAAGAGGAAACAAATAATTTCATGAATTTTGCAAACAGGTGAAATTTTGAGTCTACCAACCTTGACAGTGTCACTAAAGCCTCTAATGAACGATGTCTAAGGACCTACAAATAGAGGACAGTAGCCTATATGTTCATTTGCTTTACTCTTATAGATGTTTTAGGTTGTGAATTGAATTTCACACTGTCTCACATCTTTCAGTTTGCTTAAAAGGAAACAGTTAATTCAATAAGTAACCCTGATGTATTAACAAATATTTATTGAGATTAAACAGTGGGGTAAAAGCTCACCATTCATCTGCCTTTAACTTGCACTAAGCCACAAGATTATTAAATGGTTTTAATATACATATTTTTGCTGATGTGACGTTGTGTCTTGCGGTGTCTTGTTTTCTCCCTTAGGCTGTCTACAAGGCCTGGCTGTGCTCCGAGTATTTCAATGTGACACAACAACAGTGCCGACACCGGATTCCATGCAAGCAATACTGTCTGGAGGTGCAGACCAGGTGCCCCTTTGTGTTACCTGACAATGACGAGCTGATCTATGGAGGGTTACCTGGTTTCATCTGTACGGGTAAGAAGGTCATGGAAGTAGGATAGGTGTCCCTGTAATGACTTCTTATCTCCTGCCCATTGTACATTTCAGGAAATGGAGGAAATACAAAAAGACAGGCAGACAAATGTGTGGGGTGGATGGGGAGAATTTTCAACTCATGTTCAAGTAATAAGTTCCATTTCTCTAGAGCCTTTCACCCTGAAGACTCCTATAGCACTGTACAAATCATGGGCCAAATCTTGAAGTCTTTTTGCATGTGTGTAAGGACTTCAGGATTTGGTCATATATATAAAATAAATATATATAGGAAGTACATTATCAATTATTGAAATATTTCCATCTCTGAGATGGAATATAGCTGTTTAGCAGCCTCACAGCAACACTACCTGACAATTTAGGGCAGGACGTGAAAAGCAGTCCCACCGCTAACTGAAACTTCAAGGGTCTATTTGGTGAGGCAATATGTGACTGCGTTAAAGTTTGACCAGCTCATTGACGCTAACTGATACAAAAGATGTCAGAGGATTTCCTTTTTTAAAGTGTGTTTAGTATTCATGGCAGGTGCTCAGAGACTGAAGTCCTCTATTTATCCATCCATACAACAGGTAAAGCATAGGTATGGGCGGTACAAACTTTCCATCCTGCCACCTACCATAGCACTAGATTTTCCTGGCAGTTCTCCCATCCATGACTGAACCTGGCCTGATCCTATAGTTTGTAAGATCTGATAAATACTCAGCCTGAGATGTTCACAGCTTTGTCACAAATTATCATTACACTTGGTCCTTGGATCTTGCAATAAAGTGGACCTGGATCATGGTTGCTTTTTCTCTGGGGGAATGTGGCCTAGGGTCTTAGTCCCAGTGAAAATCTGCCAGATGAAGGTGCTCAGGGTCCCAGTCCTTAGGCTGAAAGTTGTCCAGGAGCAGGCAGCCAACCAGAATGGAAACCCTTTTTTCCTACTGCAAGTGGATTTTCTGGCAGGCCCTATGGCTTTACTCTCTATTGCACTTCCCCTGCACGTTCACTGATTCTCACCATCTGTTGTTATGTTTTGCCAGGGTTGCTAGAGAACCAATTATCCAATGAGGAAGCAAAGTGCTGCGATGTGCAATGGGACTCTTGTGACCACCCACCAGACAGCAACTACAATGCGTCCCCCAAATCCACAGAGTCGGAGTCATTCCATTACCACCGTCATGACCCCCACCTTCATCACCACCAGCAGCATCACTATCACCTCTACCACCACCACCAGTACCACCAACCCCACCCACCATCTTTGCTGCCTGTCTCCGCAGGGTCTCGCCTCAGCAACAGCAAAATCAGACTGTGCGTCCTGGTCCTTATGCTTCTCCACACCATGGTGTCCTTCTCAAGCGTGCACAGCAGTGAGGGGACTGCCAGCAGGGGCCTGAGCTTGGAGGCCCTACCTGCTATGGATGAGAGCATAACAAGAGATGAGTGACCCAGAGGGGGAAGGAAACGTCCAAGCAGAATGCCGGCTCTTTTCCTGCCAAGGGGGGCACACGCTATTCCTCCAATGGGAGGCACAGGATTGGGGGTGATGCGCACACACACACCCCTACCTACACCCCAAGAGCTGCTCGCCACGGGGCATCCCCGTGATGAAGAGTCTTTAATGCGCACAGGGCTGCAGGACTCAGCTTTGAGAAGGGTTCAGTTATCAACAGCCTTTCAGCTGTGTGCATCCTGCCTGGTAGAGGCTCTGGGAGCTAGCGCAAAGAGGTATAGAAAAAGGGAGGGGGGCTGGGATGGGAGAGGGTCCCTTTGAAACAGTTCTCCCCATGGAAATGCCACTGCTCTCCCTGCCACCTATGAGGTATCTCATGTGGTGCCCCTATTTTTTCTACCAACTGGATAATTCAGTGCAATGGGTTCAAGAAACTGGTTTATCCATTATTCCTTTTTTCCCCTCAGTCTTTAAACTTCACCCATGTATATCGCCAAAGCTGCTAGGTGGCATATACAGCAACTCAAACACCCCGAGCTAACTTCTCAGCAAACCTCTCCCTGCTGAGGGACAGTCTTGGGTCCTTAGTGTGACCTGGTGACCCCTCAGTCTGGGTAGCCCTGGTGTTAGGCTCACTCTCTTGCCAACAGACAAGATCCATTTCTAAGGCTAAGTTGTTGGGGTGGAAGATGTATTACCTGGCATTGTGTGTGCCATTTGGGGTTGTGTTTCTTACCTCAGTCAGCCCTTCCTTATCTGTGCCACTCTTGTCCTTCGATACACTGAACATAAAGAACATCCCCTGTGGGTGTTGGCAGTGAGTAGAGAGATGGCTGTAGTACAGGATGGAACAGGAAATTATATTCCCAGAGTTCTTAACACTTCACTCTTCAATGTGTCCTCAGAATTTCCTTAAACTCCTGTACTTTGTTTTCTCCAACAGCATGTTTGAGTTTGGAGAGGGCAGCACTTAGGGCAACAAGAATCTGCAGGGGCAGAGCTGACTGCACTAGTTTGCAGTGGGGCCAAGGATGGTAACAAATGGATAAAAAGCCCCAAATTGCACCCTTTAAAGTTGCCACGTTACAAACTCTTACAGCATGTGGGAAGAGGACTGGAGAAATCCAGCCCATAGGGAAATAGTTTCCCAAATAAAATGCCACCAGCTAACAAAGCACAGGTGTGGAAGAGAGGTTTCATGTGCACTATGTCCATTACTGATCATACAGCTCCTGGAAGTCCTGCTGGAACAGCCACACTTAGCCTGGCAAGACATTGATTGGCAACGCTTAGATTGTCCAAACACAGTCATACACTGGAATTCAGCCCCATCCAGACATAGGATCCCACCTCTAACTCTGACATTTCAAATTCTCCATCCCAAGGACTGAGATTTATACTCGTAGGCAATGTTGCAATTTGAGGTATGTAGCACTCTTTTCTCCCCCCCCCCCCCCCCATGTCCCTTTATAGCTGATATTTCCTCCTGCAGAGCCCACATTCAGGGTGATTTCTCTCATACTCACAGTGATGTTACTGTACTGGGCTGATGAGATCACTAGGAGGAGCAAATGACATTTTAGGAAGGAATGCTTGGGGGCCTGGCTGGAAACAAAGACAAAAGAATCAGGAATGAGAGAAGAGTTGAGGATCAAATATTAGTGAGGACAAATTTCACTTTGGAGGGGTAAGGCAAGATGAACTTGTTGCCCAACATCAGTATGAAGTGAAGCACAAGGAGACAGAAAAGCATGTTGTGTACAGTTAGATGCTCTCCCTCTCTCCAGGTCACAGTGTCCGGGAGCATTTATTATTCATCTTGAATGGCTCATTTAGGGAAAAATTAAGATTTAGATCCCACCACCTGAGACAGCATGTTCAGTGGCCGAGTGGTTGTAACTAGGGGTCAGGCAAACCAACTGAAATCAGAATTAGACTGGTTATTCTGTCAAATCTCAAACCAAACCCAGACCTGTCTGAAGGGCAAAGAAATTTCTTTAAGTTCAGGATTTATAATACTTTTGTATTTCCTGGCTTCTGTTGAATTGAAGCAGAAATAACCAAAACACCATGAGAAAAGCTACTTCCTGCCTGGCTGGAAGAAGGAAGTACCAGAAATCTCATGGGAAAGCTGGGACATTTCCAGCCCATTTCCAGACCAAAGAGGATCGGAAAAGCAGCTGAATGTTTGGATTCTTATTTGACTTGAACCTCAGAATTTTTGGATGATGTTTACATGTTGTTATTTCCCATGCACTACCAAAGTCACGAACGCATAAAGCCTGTGAACACCATTCTCATAGCGCCAAACCGACCCATTGGCTATCAGGCTAACACTGTGTAATAATGTTAATACAACTAGTTTCCAGAGCAGATCCTGGGGACACTTCTTAAGACAAATCCTGTTGCTGTTTGCACCCACTGTGGCTAGGACAGACCTTGTGTGAACATTCACAACAGCTACCATGTATTTGCAGTTTGGTTCACTCTGATCTAAGAACAGGTATGTGCAACAGTTTAGCAAACATGAATCAGACTTTTTTGATCTTGGGAGTTTTTTGCCTTGAAACCAGCCTTTAAAACCAGCCTTTGTGATAGCTATGATGACTTGACCAGATGACGAGGCCAAAGGAACATGCACAAGCATGTTTCTGTATCAAGACAACAGACTCTGACTCATTTTTTAAGGAAACTAAACTTCACTAGTATTGTTAAGGTTTGAGTGGTCACCTAATTCGAAGTGTCTACTTCAGAGATAGGATGAGTACAGTCTTTAAACCAGGGGTGGGCAAACTTATTGGCCCAAGGGCCATATTTGGGAATAGAAATTGTATGGTGGGCCATGAAAGCTCACATAATTGGGAGGTGGTGAGGGCTCTGGTTAGGGGTGCAGGCTCTGAGGTGAGGCTGGGGATGAGGGGTTTGGGGTGCAGGAGGGTGCTCTGGACTGGGACCAAGGGGTTCGGAGGGCGGGAGGGGGATCAAGGCTGGGGCAGAGGGTTGGGGCACAAGGAGAGGCTCAAGGGTGCAGGCTCCAGGTGACGCTTACCTCAAGCGGCTCCCGGAAGCAGCAGCATGTCCCTTCTCTGGCTCCTATGTGGAGGCGCAGCCAGGTGGCTCTGCATGCTGCCCCGTCCACAGGCACCGCCCCTGCAGCTCCCATTGGCTGTGGTTCCCAGACAATGGGAGCTGTGGGGGTGGTGCTTGGGGTGGGGGCAGCATGCAGAGCAGAGCCCCCTGGCTGCCCCTATGCTTAGGAGCCGGAGAGGAGCCATGCCACTGCTTCTGGGAGCCGTGTGGAGCGGTCCCCGACCCTGCTCCCTGGCTAGAATACCAGAGCAGGACAAGCCCCAGAACCTGCTCCCCAGTGGGAGCTCGAGGGTGGATTAAAACGGCTGGTGGGCTGGATGCAGCCTGTGGGCTGTAGTTTGCTTACCTCTGCTTTAAACAATACAATAGGATGGAGAAGAGCAGACCAGTTTGCACATCAGCACATGATCCTGTGTCACCAGACTTGTTCAATGTCTGGTCTGATTCTGTTTAGGTCAGACACCAAGCGGAAAACTCCAAGTACTGCTCAGCCAGAGGTGGGCATAGCGGCCTGTTTCTAATTTTTTTTTTCATGTCATTTCTGCTTTCTGTGAATGCTAGGTAATCCCATAAAGATTGTGGGCCTGAATCTCATTTACATGAAGGCAATCTAAAGGGACCATAAAATGGGTGTAAATGTAATTATGCCTACTTTAAGGCCCCTTTACTTTGCCAGGGCCTTTTATACTGCCAGGACAGTGTAAAGAGTCCTTACGGTAAATGAGAATCAGGCCCTACATGTGCCATATGATAACGGGAAGCCACATACTAATATAAGGACATTTTGTGTAGGTCTGTATTATGTGACTTGTTTACAGTCCCCCAAATCTGGGGGTACACAACCTGTCAGAGCCTGAATCTGAAGAAAAGAGAGAATCTGCCACGGAAGTTGCCTACATTTTCAGGACAGGCCTTTATCCACCAGTTCACCGCTCAGGGCCAAATGTAGAAATGCTGTCTGACTGAACTAAAATAGAATAGATAGGGTTTTGTGGACATGGAATGGGGCTAGAGAAGGTTGAGTAGGGTTTTGTTGGAATATACTATGTGCCTCAAGACATTTTCTGACCTTAATCAATACAATATGAATTGATGAGCTGCACCTCTTTTACAAAGTACCTTGGCACCTGTTTCAGGATTGTCATGGTTTGTGACCTAGATCAAGCCACTGTCCTGTCTCCATTTGATTTATGCCTTCTATCCACCATCCACTGTAATTGGCCTGAGACCACTTTCTAGTTTCCAGATAACATAGTTACTGTGAGAAATGCCACTGCGCCCCTTGATTGTAATAACATCTTGTTGGCATAGAATGCAGATGCATTCCTGTTTGGTCCTTGATGACCAATGCTAAATCAGAGCAGAGTTTGGCAAAAATACCCCCTTCTTAAGGAGAGAGGGGTGACCACATAGCAATGTGAGCAAATAGAGTTCAACCCTCTCATTCTTTCACCTTTAGTACACAAAATATGCTCCAAATGCTCCTTATTTACTTGGTAAGTGCTGATAGTTTGCTTGCCTGGATTGGGCAGGTCACTTACTAAATCCCAGCAAGTGATTTAAGAACAGTGGGAACGGAAGGGTGCTAAGCCATTTTCAAAATCTAGGTCCAATTGTAGGTGTTGAGGCTTTCAACAAACCTCGCCATAAGTGTAATTAGTAAGAAACCTACAGGAGCATGTAACTACCATGTAATTGCACTATTTCAATCAAGTGAATGCTAGGCAGTTACACAGTAATTAAAGAGGCCTCGCAGCATAGTTATGCCATGGAATTAAAATGAGATCCAAATGACGTTTCAGGTTACAGTCTCCCATAAGATTCACAAATAAAAGTCTGCTGTTGCACCAACAGTAAGGCCATCCCATCTGCCCGGCATGAGGGAAATTCAGGGAAGCCTGGTGCTGGGTTTCCATTGGCCTGGCAGGTTCAGGACTGTCCCCTGATTATGCTGTTTTGTGCTAGTGCTTTCTCTCTGCCCCTGAACATGCTTGGTATCAAGAGTGATTGGGGGGAAAGAGCTGTATCTTCACAGAAACAAGCTTTTGAAAAGAGTTATTTTCTCTAACAAGTCCAGGCTGTTGTCAGTAAGTTCTGTGGTTTTAGTGCACCATATGCTGTATTCAACACTTTGCCAGTCTAGTGAAATGAATCCAGGCTGTGCTGTTCTCAGAACAGGACTGAGCAGCTGGAAGCCATGTTTATTACGCTTCATCATTATAAGGGTGTCTGATAAAATCCTCTTTCTGGTCTGACTGTGACATTATACTCATAATAAACCTCTGTCTATGCTAGCCCTCTCTCTGATACACAGTGGGATGCTCCCCTTTACTTAGACTGTAACCCTGCCTCAATAAAGCCTATTTACATTGCTTACATTATAACAGTGTTTCTCACTAGTCCTGGTACTATTTAGCATGTGAGATAAGGAAAGAGGAGAGAGTATGAGCCTCTCTGCAGAATGCATGCACAAACATATATGCCACACACAACTGAATAGGGGCTCCAAGGCTGAGATACCTCTCTGGAGCAGATTTCAGCACAGCCAGATGTGTGTTTAGAAAACACTGATCCCAAATGAACTTATCTTACTATGAATTCAAAATCAAGGTGCTACTTACTTTCCCTTCCAGTTCAGTGACTTGGATTCTCCTCTCTGGAGAGAAAAGGAGTACTTGTGGCACCTTAGAGACTAACAAATTTATTTGAGCATAAGCTTTCGTGAGCTATAGCTCACTTCATTGGATTCATGCAGTGGAAAATACAGTGGGGAGATTTTATATACACAGAGAACATGAAACAAGGGGTGTTACCATACACACTGTAAAGAGAGTGATCAGGTAAGGTGAGCTATTACCAGCAGGAGAGAGAAAAAAAAAAAAACCTTTTGTAGTGATAATCAAGATGGGCCATTTCCAGCAGTTGACAAGAATGTGTGAGGAACGGTGGGGGGCGGGGGGGGCGGCGGGGGGGGAAATAAACTTGGGGAAATAGTTTTACTTTGTGTAATGACCCATCCACTCCCAGTCTTTATTCAAGCCGAAGTTAATGGTGTCCAGTTTGCAAATTAATTCCAATTCAACAGTCTCTCATTGGAGTCTGTTTTTGAAGGGTTTTTTGTTGAAGAATTGCCACTTTTAGGTCTGTAATCAAGCGACCAGAGAGATTGAAGTGTTCTCCGACTCGTTTTTGAATGTTATAGTTCTTGACGTCTGATTTGTGTCCATTTATTCTTTTACATAGAGACTGTCCAGTTTGTCCAATGTACATGACAGAGGGGCATTGCTGGCACATGATGGCATATATCACATTGGTGGATGTGCAGGTGAACGAGCCTCTGATAGTGTGGCTGATGTGATTAGGCCCTGTGATGGTGTCCCCTGAATAGATATGTGGACATGGTTGGCAACGGGCTTTGTTGCAAGGATAGGTTCCTGGGTTAGTGTTTTTGTTGTGTGGTGTGTGGTTGCTGGTGAGTATTTGCTTCAGGTTGGGGGGCTGTCTGTAGGCAAGGACTGGACTGTCTCCCAAGATCTGTGAGAGTGATGGGTCGTCCTTCAGGATAAGTTGTAGATCCTTGATGATGCGCTGGAGAGATTTTAGTTGGGGGCTGAAGGTGATGGCTAGTGGCCTTCTGTTATTTTCTTTGTTGGGCCTGTCCTGTAGTAGGTAACTTCTGGGTACTCTTCTGGTTCTGTCAATCTGCTTCTTCACTTCAGCAGGTGGGTATTGTAGTTGTAAGAACACTTGATAGAGATCTTGTAGGTGTTTGTCTCTGTCTGAGGGGTTGGAGCAAATGCGGTTGTATCGTAGAGCTTGGCTGTAGACAATGGATCGTGTGGTGTGGTCTGGATGAAAGCTGGAGGTATGCAGGTAAGTATAGCAGTCAGTAGGTTTCTGGTTTTGGGTGGTGTTTATGTGACCATCACTTATTAGCACTGTAGTGTCGAGGAAGTGGCTCTCTTGTGTGCACTGGTCCAGGCTGAGGTTGATGGTGGGATGGAAATTGTTGAAATCATGGTGGAATTCCTCAAGGGCTTCTTTTCCATGGGTCCAGATGATGAAGATGTCATCAGTGTAGCGCAAGTAGAGTAGGGGCATTAGGGGACGAGAGCTGAGGAAGCGTTGTTCTAAGTCAGCCATAAAAATGTTGGCATACTGTGGGGCCATGTGGGTACCCATACCAGTGCCGCTGATTTGAAGGTATATGTTGTCCCCAAATGTGAAATAGTTATGGGTGAGGACAAACTCACAAAGTTCAGCCACCAGGTTTGCTGTGACATTATCGGGGATACTGTTCCTGAGAGAGACTCCATGCATTGGTGTGGACACGTAAAATCAAATGTTCCCCACAATGCAAACTGAGTTCTGCTCCATTGAGAGAAAGAACCTGTTCCCACAGCAGTAGCTCCTTATAGACATTGTGATGCATGCAAAGTGTTACCCTTCCCCTATAGGGTCTGTCTGTCTGTCTGAGTCAATGTGTGGATCTGATGGGGCAGAGTTAGCCAGGATTCTCTTACTTTCCCACAGGACACATAAACCTCGTGAATATTTATTCACACACTTTGCCACCATATCATTTGACATTATTGACAAGTTCTACTCAGGAGAAGCCCACGGCCTGAATTAGGGAGAGCAGCAGATCAGGACTCAGGTGCACTGGTAAAATTGTGAAAGGAAAGCTAGTGAAACAGCTGCCCATTTTCTATCTGGATCTAGCTGGGGTATTTGTTTGGGGCTTTGCACTTAAAATAAAGTGCAAATTCTATAAAATTATTTAAAAATAATCAAAGAAAAATCTGAAAAAAGGCTTTGTTTCCTCTGACAGATATGACTCATTAGCTGAACCTCTTTCCTGT